ACGAGCGCACCGTGCAGAGGCGTGCCGCGCCCTGCCGCGCCCGCCGCCCAGCGCGAGGGCCGGGGCCCCGCACCGCTGAGCCCGCCCCCCGCCCCTCCCTCGCTCGCCCCTCCCTCTCCCTCCCCGCCCGCGCGACGCGTGCAGAGGCTCGCGCCGCCGCCCGAGCCGCGCCTCCGCCCTCCGATCCCCGGCCAGCATCTCTGCGCGCCACCGCGCCCGCGCCGCGCCCTGCCGCGCCACGCCCGCGCCAGGGCTCCGGGCCTGTGCCGCCCGCTCCGCGCTGAATTTTCCCAGGACTGCCTCCGTCCGATTAGGTACCGAGTCTGACAGCAGCACGTTAAAGCGCCATGGAGGATGAGGACCTGAAATCTGCCATCAACGTCGCCTGGGTGCTCCTGTGCACCGCGCTTGTCTTTTGGGAGCAGGCCGGCTTTGCCATGTGGGAGGCGGGCTGCCTCCGCTCGACCAGCTTGCACTCAATCCTTCTGAAGAACATGTGCGACGCCGCCATCGGCGCCGCGGCTTTCTTCACCCTCGGCTACGCCATCGGCTTCGGTGGAGGCGCCGACCACAAATTCGCCGGCAACGACAAGTTCTTTCTCAAGGCATGCGCGGCCCGCCTGCACAACCCTGCACCGCCGCCGTTCGCCCTCCCAGCCGCGCTCGTGGCGCACATGTCAGGGCGTGGCTATTGACGACTACCACATCGTCTTCTTCCAGTGGGCCTTCGCCGCCACCGCAGCCACTACCGTGAGCGGCTGCATGGCGGAGCGCACCCAATTTGCCGGCTACCTGATCTACTCCTTTTTCGTCACCGCCTTCATCTACGCTGTCCCCTTGCACTGGCTGTGGGCCGACGCCGGCTGGCTGTGCGCGTGGGGCGACAACGCCGCCTTTGGCTACGGCATGATCGACTTCGCCGGCTCCGGCATTGTGCACATGCTGGGCGGCGCCGCGGGGCTGGTCGGCTCGTATGTCGTGGGCCCGCGCGCGGGCAGGTTCACGGACAAGGGGCCGGTGCAGATCGAGGGGCACTCGATCGCCCTCACGACGCTCGGCGTCTACTGCCTCTGGTTTGGCTGGTTTGGCTTCAACGCCGGCTACACGCTCGGTGCCACGCACACGCCCGCCCAGGCCGCCCGGCGCGCCCACCGCGCAGCACTCCGGCGCAGCCTCGCCATGCCTAGCGCCTGCGCACCGCGCGCAGGCACGACGGGCGGCATGTGGAAAACGGCGGCCCTCATCTGCGTCAACACGACCATCTCGCCGTCGGCCTCGATCCTCTCCGTGCTGCTCCTCGAGAAGTTCCTGGCGGGCTACTACGACACCTCCAAGTGAGACGCGATGAGTAGTGGTCGGTAGTCGCAGTAGTAAAAGTAGTTAGCGGAAGTTCCTGGTGGGCTACTGCGACATACAGGGAGCTAGGTGCTAGCTGCTCCACCTCGCTGCTCCACCTAGCTGCTAGTAGCCAGTCGTAGTAGCTAGTACGACAGCTGACAGTTTGACGCGCGGGTGCCGTCCTCCACCGCCCATCCCCCCCCCCCCCCCCACTCCCCAGGTGCATGAACGGCATCGTGGCGGGGCTCGTAGGCATCACTGGCCCCTGCGGCGTGGTAGAGCCCTACGCGGCGGCCATCATCGGCATCGTCTCCGGGGCCGTCTACTGCGGCTCGTGGCGG